TTAGTTCACTGGAGGTGCTGCACAAACCAGCATCTCCTCATCTGTTTTCATAAAAGCCAGTGGAAAAAAATTATATTTGGTCCATCTTTGGAGAAAAGCTTGCTTCAGGGAAGACAGAATTTAGAAATGTCAGGGGTAAAATATAAATACATGCAAAGTGGAAATAGTCTTTCCTCTTTCACATAACTGCATAATAGCTCAAAATAGCCTGTGCAGAGTTGTGTATGGTTGTCAACTGCTTTAGGGATTTGCATAGCTTCCTCATACAATGTGGTGTCTTAAGTGTGTCCAGCCCTACCCGATTAATAACAAACATCAGCTCGTTTGTTTTCTTCTGGGTTCTGGATCTCTGTCTGGTGCAACGCACTCCCATTAGTGGAGGTGTTCATTTAGGGTTAAAAGAAGAGAAGACTCTGCAGATCTTGCAAAAACTTAGTGCACTACTTCTAAAATTAGAGCTTTTTTCCCCCAGTATAAACCCACTTAAACCAAACATTCTGTGAAAAAGTGTTTTGTGGATGGGCTGTGAGTGCCCGCTTGAGATACCAGAGGGAAAACATGTGGAGCTGACACTTGCCACAGAATATTTTCTTTTTTTTTTTCGTTGGAAGTGAATGTGTCATATTATTGAGATCATCTAGAGTTAATTTGAATTAGAAAAACCCAGTTGTGGATTACAGTTTAAATGAATTTAGCAGCGTAAATATACACTGGAAAAGGAAAAAACCAAACCAAAACAAAACAAAAACCAAAACCCTAAATCCAGAAAGTAATAGATCTTAAATGAAACTATATAACATAATTAAGTGTTAGCTTCTGACTTAGCCTCCTCTTTACTGTTTCTTCCTTCATGTAGTAGGGACCTGATACAGGAGGGCTGAGCATTCATGATTGCTACTGGAATTGGTAACCGAACTGTTAGTGTAGCTTGGATCAAATCTGTAGTACACAGGCTTCATCTACATTGTCTTTTTTATTTTCATACAGTAAGCACAGGAGAAAACATTTGCTTTTTTGGCTTGGCATATCTTTAATTGTGTATGAATTTCTATGCATTTTACAATAGTAAAATAGCGATTTGTGCTTAGAAGTTTGTCTATTTAAATGCAGAAAAATGCTTTGTAATTAGATAATATGGCAAATATGGCAAAATATTACCCTAGTATATTTAAGCTCATTTTCCAGCATGATGTTTTTTCACCCCAAACTCCAGAAATTTCCGAAGTAAAGCATGTTACTAGGTTCATACGTACTTATGCATGCAGTTTTATGCCCCAGTTCAGGTGATCTCATTTTTCTTGCCTGGCACTGTTAGCATACAGACTTAATTAGTTTGGACATAACATGGAAAAGAATGAGGTGAAACAGACCTGAGATGGGTTTCAAGAGACAGAAACATTACATCTTTCCAAACCCCATCCTGACTTCACGACTGTTGTCTCTTTCAGGAAGGTGTCACTCCCTGCTGATTCAGACTTTATGCTGCCAGTGAAGTGGGAAGGTGTCCCCAGCTGGAACAGCAGTCAGTGCCTTACAAATCCTAGAAAATCAAGTATTGGAAAGCTCTTATCAGTCTGTGGATGCAATACCTGGACATTCCCACTTCCATTATTGTGGGGCTTCCCAGTGATATTCCAGGGTTTAATTTTCACTTTCTTTGTGTGACCTTGAATGAAACCTTTCTGTGGGAATGCTTTCTCAATACACCTATGCTGAGTATGAAATATCAGAGGTGACAGAGGGGTCTGCAAGTGCCTGAGTTACTGCATCTTTGCTGGTTAATGTTTGTCAGCTGTGTAGTGATGACTGATAACTGTCAGCCAAGCAAAGCCTGGAGTCTTAAATCATTGTGGTGGTTGCAGTGTGGTGGCTTGCCCTAAAGCCCATAGTTATGAAGGTGGGACAACTATGGTAGGTGGGCATAGCAGGGGGGAAAAAAAAAAAAAAAGCAAGACCAGGGTTACTGGGACAGTGATCTTAATTAAGCTGTTGCTTTTGTGAAAGGGTATTGAGAAAGAATTTGGAGACCACTGTGATAGCCTGGTGGTATTATTTTTGCAGAGCTCCTCCAAACCTGAGAGGATGGGTGGGTGGAGGAGGCAAGATCTGAAGGTACACGTTTGAAAGATCATTAGCTTTGAGAGGGGTGTGATTAATTTCCTGAGTTTTTGCATCTGAGTCACAAGGCACACACTGGTGAGCAATAAGAAACAGTAAGCAGCATCCTCAAGTAGTGTTCTCAGAATGGATTTGCGGCTAAGGGGTTTTTCTGGTTAGGTTTTTTTGGTTTGCTCACTTTGACTGTTTGGCCAGCTTTTTATCCTTGTATTTACATGAACCAAACCACATTGTTTGTTTTGGAAACTGAGCACCCCAGGCAGGTGGGCTGCTGTGAACAAGGGCTTTCCCGAAACTCAGTGCAGGAACCCTAACTTCATTAGAAGGCACAGTTTGGCATCAGGGCCAAGCTGATCTAAAGTCTTGCAGTCAGCAGAAGGGGAGATACTGCTGTATTCCCAGTGGCTGACCAGCTCCTGTGGCTCCCCTGATGTATGTGTGCAGCAGGCACATTTTAAATCCTGCTCCTGAAAATCTCTTAGTCTTAGTATAAGTCTTATAAAATATCAGTGCAACTTGGGCTTCTGAGACCCCTAGTATTTTTGAAGGTGTTTTCCTGCAGCACATCTTACTTCTTCCTCAATTAGGTGATCCACTGTATACCTGAGGGGGATGGAGCTGAATCCTGCATCTAGTACACACCACCAACTCCTGGTCAGTAATAAACTGCACACATAAGGAGCGCAGGACAGACCTCGTGCGGGTGCAGATTAATTATTCAGCTCCTCTGGAGCATAGAGCCTTTGATTGGGCTCTAAACGTGGCTGTGTGACTTATGAAAAGATTAATTTGTTATAGCTGATGACAATGATGAGTTTGTGTATACACATATCTCCTGTTGTTCAGTTGAAATGTTCAGCATTTTATTGTCTTTTATTTTCTTGGGGAGAGATATTCCACCCCTAACCCAAGTTGAGGTTTTTTGGTTAAAAAAATACCCATCTGTATATGTGAATAATATGGATTTGTGTTATTGAAAAGAAAAACAAATATAGCAGGGCTCCTGATATATTAGATGCAAACAGAAGGAGAATCAGGTGTTCAGTGCAAATATCCTCTGAAATAATAAACAAATGTTTTGTATAAATAACATCTCATTAAGTAATAACATAAGGCCAAACGTTTCAGTTCATGGCTTATGTTGAAAAATACAGCATGGAATGACTGAGTCAGGCAGCCTGACGCTTGGGAATGGGATCATTTGTTTTGTGCGGTTTTGGGTTTCAGAAGGAGGTCTGCCTGCTGCTGACAGGATGGTGCTTTTTTTAAAATTTGGTTTGCACATAGGGTTCTGGAAAGTCAGAGGGGTATTGTGAGGGGGTATTGCCAAAGTGTGTAATAAACAAAAGCAAGTAAATTGATGGGAAGCTGTTCATTCATCACGTGGCAGGAGTTGTAGCATAACTTTCCTTTTGTTGTTAGATCATCAATGACAAAACCTATGCGTGACAGGACAACCAAGTTTGTAGTGGCTTGGTAATAATTTGCTGTTGGATCAGATGGCTGTAGATGGGGGCAGAAGTGGAATCAACATGCTTCTTGTTTGAGCAAGCAGGGAAGAAATGGGGAGATGAGAAACAGGGGTGCAGGGGACTTGGTAGTGGCATACCTGTTTCTCAGCCATATGCTGTTTGTTGTTCCTTTTGCTTAGGAAGGATGCTGTGCCCCTGAAATCAAAAGGAGGAGGGGAAGGAAACAAGAAACTTCATAATCTTCAGGCAGTTTTACACAAGAGAAAGTAGCTGAAGGACAGGTTGTGAATGATGTCAGACTCTTGTGTCTGTAGGGCTGCAGAAATCACTGTGATTTACACAGTCCTGGGGCGTTTCTTGTTTTTGTTCTTTTTGCTATTTCCCTTTCTTATTAAACATAGTGTCTTCTTGGCTTTGCTTTTACATTGCCCTGCTTTGCACAGAATCTCACCTTTTGCTCATCATTCAGCAGCTGTTTCCACATAGCTTAGCATTTCTACCCTGAACACTGCACAGTAGTGTTTTCCTGCCTTAAGAGTGTTTTTTTCCTTTGTAGTTTATTCTTCTTTGTGAAAGAATACAGAACTCTTGACCTAAGTGCAGATGAATGTTGCCTTACTTCATAATAACCTTGCAGTTTGGCTGGGTTCACAAATACTCAGAAAGGTTGAGGAGGAGCCTCATGCTTGTATGTAGATGACTGTGCCCCAAGTAGTGTCCTTCGTGTGTTGAGTTCTCAGTAGGGCTGTGCTATAGAAGACCAAGTGGTGTTAGTTTTTTGATGCTTACAAGTGCTCTTTTGCCTAGGAAGTGTCCCCAGACTCTTTCTGTGGCACCAAGACCATCACAGGCTGGAAGGGGGTCCCTCCACTTGAAGCTTGCTTCTGCTGCACTACTTCTTGTAAAGCTGGAGGGGTTGCTTCTAGTCAGCTGGCCTGCCTTATCTCTGTGGAGAGTGCTTTTTGTAGTCTCTCATATGGAGAACAAGATTTAATGGTGTCTCCTTGGGGCCTGTGACTGTGATGCAGGGAGTTACTGCTGAGGGAGATGCTTGTGGCAGCAGCACCATGAGAGCTGGGCAGTGAATGAATTGGGATTCAAGCATTACATTGGGTTGTTGTGAAATAGCTGCTGCTTCTGAGTTAGCTCATGGAATTGCAGATACAGCTGAGAAGCTAAGAAGACAGTGGAAAAAGAAGATGAGACAATTTGAAGTGCTTTAGATAAACATGTCAACCTCTGCGGTCAGCAGGATTGGGCACTTTGTGTGCGTAACGTACCATCCGACATAAAGCTAAGCTGGATTTTCTAGGAGCAACACAGTATAATGTCCAACCAAAAGACTAGCCCTGCTGCAGGTGGTGATAGAGCCACCGAGGTTGGATTCTGCCTCCACCTGCACCCACCGTGATGCCAGAACCAGACCCAGAGGTGTGTGGGCAGAAACCTCCCAAGCCTGCAAACCCCCCTGGCAGAAGGTGCTGTGGATCTCCAGCCCCCGGCTGGGGACCTGCCTGGCCCTGGGACATGGATCTCCAGGTGCTTGCGTTTGCTTTGTCACGTTTAGCTTTGCTGGGTGAATAGTTGTATTTAATCCTTGGTGCAATTGCTGAAGTAATCTGTTTGTTACGTGACAAAAGAGGCTGCTGCAGTCGGTTGGTGTCAGCTGGATACCAGAGTCTCAAGAAATCAGGGTTTGCCTCTCAAGCTCCTGCAGACCTCAGGCTGGGGCTTTTATTTCACTCTTTTAGGAGCATTTTGTACTGCCACCTGGAGGGAAATGAAGAAAACAATTTACAGGCCAAATCGCACAATAACAGGAAGGGAAATGGCTTATCTGGAAGTAAAAACCGTGAAGTTTAAACACTAAAAAACATTTTCAAAGCAAAATTCAGGTGTGCTTACCAGTATTGCTAGCAGATTAGTTTCAGGCTGCAGTTAAATGGCAACTGCTGGTATCTTATGGATATGTACACATACATAAAGTAGATTCCAGAATATATACCAAGTGCTTTGAATTGTGGCCGTACTGAGTTTGTTTCAGAAAATGCAAAATATTCCTTTGTGAGAGATTATACAGCAATAGGATGAAAGGAAAAATCTTATGAATAAAAAAGACCTAATTCGCATCAGCCATTTTTTGTGGGATGGTGTTGAAAGTGCTAACTGAAGTATCTTTTGACTAAGATCTTGTAGGTTTCGGTTTTAAGTTCATATGTGTAAAAGAATCGGCATATGTTGTGCAAACTGGTTTTGTGACAAATTTATTTTTTTTTTTTAAAAAAGGTGGAAACTATCATTTTAGCAGCATGTTTGTTGTTTTTTCTCTAATAGTTTGGTATACTTGTGGTGTCATTTTTATGTTAGTAGATTTTTAGGTATCTCTTCTGCAGGTTGAAAAGTCTAGGTTTGGTTTTTTTTTTTTTTAAACTGATTCACCACTTCATGTGTTAATTAAACCAACCCATATTTTCTTTGAGCTTCTGGTAGTTTTAAAGTTTTAATTTCTATTATTTATTTTTGTTTTTCCAGGTCAGATGTGCAGTTGCCTGTAAGTATCATTCTGTTGCTCAATTTTATTATTTTTTTTTTTTTTAAATATAGCCCTCATTATCTTAATAGCATTCAAAAATCTAAACTTGCTTATTTTAGTGACTGTAATTCCTGCAGTTCATTTAGGGATATTTAAAGATACAAATACGTACTCAGTTTGCAAAGTGTTCTGGTAAAATCAAGTACAGATATATAAGCTTAGGAAGATTGGAAAATATGCTTAAAGACAATACAAACCAAACAAACCCCAAAACAGAAAGAAGACACCTGAACTGAACTTTAAGGATTTTCTGAAGTGAGCATAGTAACTGCTATACTTGCCAAGATTACAAGTTTTCATGTGGCGGAAATTTCCAAAAGTACTTGCAAATGAGTTCTACCTTAATTTGTAACATCAGACTTGCATGAGTCAGCCTTTAAATTTTAGGGCCTAAATCAACTCTCTCCACAGTTTTGGCTGTTCTACATCAACTTAAATCTGTTTTCTTTAGGTATACCATAGCCATTCCTTACTTGTGGGAATATGAGTACTTTTTTGCTGATACACTGGGGGAAGAGGCAAAATTGCAATGCCAGGTTGAGTAGAGCAGCTAGCTTCTAATGTATTCATGAGGAAAATACACACACAGAATGTGGCTGCAAGTTTGTTCAATTCTTTTCAAACAAAACTGCACTGAAAAAAAGCAGATCACGGTAGCTTTCATTCGAACAATGAGTAGAGTCAGTGGTAAAACTAGGAAATGTGCAGTGACATCTCTAGGAGAACAAACTGGGAAAACAGAATTGTCTGCGGTTCTGTGCATGATATCTATAAATGACTATACTTTTGCAAATGGGAAACCAGAAATTTTGTGAAGGTACTTAGTGCTTTGTATTCTCTTTCAGGCACTGAAGATTGCAGCTCAAAAAATGTAACTGTGGAAACAGGAACCAGTAGTAATGATAAATTACCAGTAAACTCTACAAGCGGGACCAAAACCTATGGAGGTGGAAGATGGATCAGGGATGTGTCACTGCCCGACCAGACAAAAGGTGGTCGGAATAATGTAACACGTAAGTGATTTGGAATGTGACTGGGATATGAATCTTCATGGTGTTTTGTGCTATTATACTGTGCTAGCATTTTAAGTCTGAGGTCTAGTCCAGAGTGCAAAGAGCAATGCAGGGGCGTGAATCCAACTGCTTTACTGGAGTAGCAAATGAGCCAAAGAAATGTATCTGCACAGCTGACTGGGAGTGCACTTTAACACTATGATTGGCATGTGGCCTTGGAATACTTTTATAACTGTTAGACTTGGGATCCCTCCCCTGTTTTTATAGTTTTATAGATTACAGCTGCAACAATTCAAACATACTGTGACATAGATTTTAAATATATGCGACAGTACAGCTAAAGTACTCTACCTAGTACAGAGGGTTCTGTATCATGTATGTAGAGGAGAGGTGCGTGAATCTTGCAGCGGGAAAGGCTTTTAGGATAGCCAGCTTAGGGAAAAAAACAAACCAGGAGGTTGTGTGTTCCAGTCTTTCTCAGCACACTTCATGAAGCTGACAGCTGAGGCAGGATGGTAACCACTGCTGCACCTAGACAGTTTTACTCCTAGAGATAAAGTAAAACTTGAGTTAGATTGCAGCGCTAGCAAGTGTGCCTTGCAACATACAAGGATGACCTGATGATTTTCACAGACTGATTACTGTTTTACAGAGACCTCTCATTTGGGTAGGGTGGGGACAAGGGTGCTTTATGAGTTTGTCAGCAAATATTCTTGCGGGTTAAAAGTTTGGGTTTTTTCTTGCCTTTCACAGAGCCCATCCCAGTCCTTGATCTCAAGGCAGAATATGTTGGTATGACTTCTGTCAGTTTAACATGGGCAGTGAACACCACAGCTTTGAACTCCTACACGTACAGGATAGAGGTGGCAAGTGGTACCTCCGTTAAGAACCTGACATCCAATGTCACCAAAACTGAAATCAAAGAGTTAATTCCTGGGACACTGTATAATTTCACATTATTTGCAGTAGCAAGTGATGATGAGACAGAAGGAGAAGGATCATCTATAAGTCTGTATACAAGTAAGTCACAGTTACTTGCAGCCCTGTTTCTGGTGGACTATTTTTCTGTGCAGCTCAGGGCTCTACCTACCTCTGGGAGGATTGTAATTCAGTAGTTTTGTGTATAGACGTGATGTTTTAGTCTTGGAGCCTGATCTGGGCTATATTCAAAGGATGTGATGTTAGTGTGCAGCAGAAACATACCCCTGATGGTTTTGTTTTAATTTTAATTATCTATCTTCCCCTCCATCCTCATCTCTTTCCACCTCTCTAGATTCCAAAGGGAGGCCCTGTGCTTCTGTTTTGGAGTGTCTAAAGGAGATGAATCCTACTCAGAATGACTTCTCTTCAGTTCTCTGTTAGCTGCCCATTGACACAAAAGACTCCAGGACCATCTGGTGATGATGCTGGGGTGCTCCTGCACTCTGAACAGGGAGTGATGTGAAGAGAGTGAGGCAGTGGTGTGCCTGTGTTTCTTCTGTCCACGTATGTGAGCAGATGTTCTTGCAGGTTGACAGATGGTTGTCTTGTCTTCCACAGAGCCCAGCCCAGTTCTTGATCTCAAGGCAGAAAATGTTGCCATGACTTCTGTCAACTTAACATGGATGGTGAACGACACTGCTTCCAGCTCCTACACGTACAGGATAGAGGTTGAGAGTGGTACCTCTGTTAGGAACGTGACATCCAGTGTCACCAGAGTCACAATTACTGAGTTAATCCCTGGGGCCATGTACAGATTCACAGTATTTGCAGTAGCAGCTGATGGTTGGACAGAAGGAGAAGGATCATCCATAAGCCTGTATACGGGTAAGTCACAGTTTCTTGCATCCCTGTTCTGCTGTGTAGCTCAGAGTTCTGCCTACCTACATGAGGGCTGAAATACAATACTGCTACGTATAGATGTGGTATTTTAATCCTGGAGCCTAATTGGGGCTGTCTGCTAAGCATGGGGTCTTAAGTGTGTGGAAGAAATGTGTCCCTGCTTTGGAGAAAAAAAAAAAAAATATCCACAGAAGTATAACCAGACAAACAAAACCCGCCTTCCTTCCCTTCCAATCCTCATCTCATATGGGAGAAGTTCTTGTTCACAGTGTGCTGAGTGAAGAACTGGCTGAAGGACAGAGCTCCAAGGGTTGCAGTGAATGGGGCTACATCTGGCTGGCGACCAGTCACCAGTGGTGTTCCTCAGGGCTCAATCCTAGGGCCCATCCTGTTCAATATGTTCACTGATGATCTGGAGCTGAATGCACCATTAGCACTTTTGCTGATGACACCCAACTGGGAGGTGCTGTTGACTCTCTTGAGGGACAGGAGGCCTTGAGAGGGGTCTAGATAGATTGGAGCACTGGGCAGAGGTCAGTGGCATGAAATCTAACAAGTCCAAGTGCCAGATTCTGCACCTGGGATAGAGTAACGCCAGGCACAAGTGTAAACTGGGAGAGGAGTGGCTGGAGAGCAGCCCTGCAGGAAGGGGTCTGGGGGTGCTGGTGGGTAGCAGGCTCACTGTGAGCCAGCAGTGTGCCCTGGCAGCCAGGAGGGTGAACCGCATCCTGGGGCGCATCCAGCACAGCGTGACCAGGCGGTCACCAGAGGTGACTGTCCCGCTGTGTTTGGCGTTGGTGCGGCCTCACCTCGAGCACCATGGACAGTTCTGGGCCCCACAGTTTAAGAAGGACGTGAAGGTCCTTGAATGTGTCCAGAGGAGGCCAGCAAAGCTGGTGACTGGGCTGGAAGGGATGTCCTGTGAGGAGCGGCTGAAGGCTTTGGGTTTGTGTAGATTGGAGAAAAAGAAGTTGAGGGGCAACCTCCTTGCTCTCTATAGCCTCCTGAGGAGGCGAGGTAGAGAGGGCGGTGTTGGGCCCTTCTCCCTGCGATCCAGTGACAGGACACTTGGGTAGGGTCCAAAACTGTGTGAGAGGAGGTTTATTCTTGACATGAGGAGGCATTTCTTTGAGAGAGTGGTCAAACGCTGGAACAGGCTTCCTGCAGAGGTGGTTGATGCCCCAAGGCTGTCAGTGTTTAAGAGTATTTGAATAATGCCCTCAATAATAAGTTTTAACTTGTAGTCAGCCCTGAAGTGGTCAGGCAGTTTGACTTAGATGACTGTTGTAGGTCCCTTCCAACTGAAATATTCTAGTCTAGTCTATCTCTTTCCTGCCCACCTCTCTAGATTCCCAACGAAAGCCCTGGGAGTTCTGTCAGGGTAATGGCCTGTGCTTCTGCTTTGGAGTGTCAAAGTCAAGATAACTTTTCTTCACTTCTCTGTTAGCTGCCCATTGACACAAAAGGCTCCAGGACCATCTGGTGATGTTGTTAGGGTGCTCCTGCACTCTGAACAGGGAGTGATGTGAAGAGAGTGAGGCAGTGGTGTGCCTGTGTTTCTTCTGTCCACGTATGTGAGCAGATGTTCTTGCAGGTTGGCAGATGGTTGTCTTGTCTTTCACAGAGCCCAGCCCAGTTCTTGATCTCAAGGCAGAAAATGTTGGCATGACTTCTGTCAACTTAACATGGATGGTGAGCGACACTGCTTCCAGCTCCTACACGTACAGGATAGAGGTTGAGAGTGGTACCTCTGTTAGGAACATGACTTCCAATGTCACCAGAGTTGAAATTTCTGAGTTAATCCCTGGGACCATGTACAGATTCACGGTGTTTGCAGTATCAGCTGATGGTCAGATGGAAGGAGAAGGATCGTCCATAAGCCTCTATACAAGTAAGGAAGTGCTGCCTCTCAGTTGCAAGTAAACATGCTATTGTACCAAATTGCCCTGCTTTTTTTTACCTTTGGTTTCTAACTTTGGACTATTTCTCATTGTGATGCTTCTTTGCTCCAGGTGTCTGTGGGCATGAATGCCAGGTGGCCTTTGTTAAAAGGGAAAAGGGCTGAGATACCTGTTTTTCTGTGTGTGTTAATGTGTTGCCTGTTAAGCTGTTATTTCATCAGCTTGGGTGCTCAAGACTGTAGAGATCCAGCTGCTACAACAACATGACTTTCTCTAGACTTGATGGCTGAACAGGTCCCCTGTAATGCTTTTGGGAGCAGGTTATCACAGCTCATACCAAAGGACATTGCGTTCAGGCATGTGGTTGCCAGGTTCACAGAGGCTTTCTGTTTTTGAAGATTGTGTTGAGCTCTTTGCAGAGCCCCTGGCCTGGGGCTCCTCTGGCCTCTGACAGTGCCTAGGGCCACATTATGGATTGTGGTGCCATTTTTGTCAGCTTTGTGCCATGGCACATTTTTCCAGATCAGAGAGACAGATGGGAGGAGATCTTTATTTTGTGTCTAGCTCAGGGGTGCAAAGGGAAGAGGCAACATCCCTACGAAGCAATTGGAAGCAGTATGTCCTGGAGCTGCTACTGAGCAGATGAATTTGTCTAAGCTGCCTGAGTCTTGTCTGCCCAGTGTTAATGGTGGATCAGGCTTGCGGACACAGCCCCCCAGAGTGGGTCAGCTGTTGGGCCTGCTCAAGGAGCCCATTTCGTTCTCCTGATGTTGAGGTGAGGTTGGACTGAAGGGGTCACATTAAGACTTTCAGGTGCAATTGAGTTAATGGACCAAGATCACCCTGCACTCTCCTTCCTTCTCTGATTTCCATCTGTTTATCTGTCTGGAAACCCACTGAGGAAATAAATGTTTTTAGCATGTGAAGGGAAATAAAGAGAACATTCCCCAGAACTCCTGTGGCCTTTCCAGAGGTGCCACAGCATGAATGTCTGAAACTGGACATTGATAATGCAGAAGTGTTGCGTGGCTACAAATAATGCTCATACTGTGTGGAATAGGGAAACATGGCTGTGGCTCTCCTTTCTTTATTTCTCTGTCTTGACAGATTGTTGTCTTGGCTTTCACAGAACCCAGCCCAGTTCTTGATCTCAAGGCAGAATATGTTGGCATGACTTCTGTCAACTTAACGTGGGTGGTGAACGACACTGCTTCCAGCTCCTACACGTACAGGATAGAGGTTGAGAGTGGTACCTCTGTTAGGAACGTGACGTCCAATGTCACCAGAGTTGAAATTTCCGAGTTAATCCCTGGGACCATGTACAGATTCACGGTGTTTGCAGTAGCAGCTGATGGTTGGACGGAAGGAGAAGGATCATCCATAAGCCTGTATACGGGTAAGTCACAAATTCTTGCAGCCTTGTTTCTGGTGAACTGTATTTTCCGGTGCAGCACGGAGCTCTGCCTACCTGCCTGAGGATTGTAATTTAATACTGTTGTGGGCAGATGTGATGGTTTTATCCTAGAAATGGAGATGACCAATCTGCCAAGCATGACATGTTGAAGTGCAGAAGCAGCATTGCCCTGATAGAAAGCTGTTGGTGAAGTTTGTCCTCAAGGCTGGCAACGCAGAGAGGAGGAATTGCCCCAAGGACCTTTCTCTTCTAAATTTGGGAAAGGGGATTGCATTTGTTCTCAGATTCTTATTTTAAGGTGCTCCCACACAGAGCATATTGTGGCAGGGGAACATTTGTGATTTGGGTGCCCGTATCTGCCATTGGGCTGCCACAGGAGAGTGAGATTGAGGCAGCGGCTAGTTCAGGAGAACTGCTTTGGCCATGTAGCACCTTGCTGTGTTGAGTATCAGAAGTCTTGCCATGTGCTGTTGGAGGGACCATTTTGGAGCTGGCCTGCAATGCTGTAGCCTAGCCTGGTCATTACACAGGGTGTATTTGAAAGAAAACACATGCCTGTTCTTGTCATTTGTGTTGTCCTGAAATGTACCTGCATGTGTGCTCATACCTTTCCAGTAAATGCCCAGAAGTCTCTCCTGTGCTGCCTAACTGCAATGGCTAGTTGCCTGGTTTTGAAGATGCACGGGGAATAGGGTGCAGGAGAGAGGGTTTTGAGAGCTGTTCCCTCTGCAGCGGGAGTGAGTGCAGGGCAGGAGGGTTGAAGGAGGAGCAAGGTGCCTGGGTCACCACCTCTGTTCCTCTTCGGTGTTGTTTGATCTTCCTTACTTTTTGCTGTGCAGAGATGCACCACCATTGTCTTTCCCCACTGCTTTTCTCTCCTTCCTGCCCACCTCTCTGCATTGTCAGGGGAAACCGTGGGAGTGATGGCACAGTGGTGACCTGTGCTCTGGATTTTGAATGTGAAAGGAAGATGAATTTTACTTGAGATGCCTCTTTCTCATTTTTCTGTTAGCTGCTCATTGACACAAAAGGCTCCAGGAGCATCTGGTGATGTTGTTGGGGTGCTCCTGCACTCTGAACAGGGAGTGAGGCAGGCAGTGGTGTGCCTGTGTTTCTTCTGTCCATGTATGTGAGCAGATGTTCTTGCAGGTTGGCAGATGGTTGTCTTGTCTTCCACAGAGCCCAGCCCAGTTCTTTATCTCAAGGCAGAAAATGTTGGCATGACTTCTGTCAACTTAACATGGATGGTGAGCGACACTGCTTCCAGCTCCTACACGTACAGGATAGAGGTTGAGAGTGGTACCTCTGTTAGGAACGTGACTTCCAATGTCACTAGAGTCGAAATTACTGAGTTAATCCCTGGGACCATGTACAGATTCACAGTATTTGCAGTAGCAGCTGATGGTTGGACAGAAGGAGAAGGATCGTCCATAAGCCTGTATACGGGTAAGTCGTGGTTGCTCTCACACCTCTTCCTGATGGTCTGTATTTTGCTGTGCAGCACAGGGCTCTCCCTGTTTGACCAAGGGTTGAAATGCAGTACTGTTGCAGGCAGAAGTGCTGTGCTTTGCCTGCCTGCAGGTAGAGATGTTTGTGTGGAAGAAACATAGCCTTTTTTTAAAAAATAAAGTAAAACAAGCCCCCTCAAAAACAGCAGTTGGTGAAAGTGGTCACCAAGGCCTGTGATGCAGTGAAGGAACTCTTCCTGAGAACCTGCCTCCCTGGCCTGGAAATTGTGTGTGTGGTTTTGCTACCTTCATTTCTTGGGGATGGGGGCCTCAGACCCTTATTTTAAAGGGCTCCCACACAGACTGAGTGTGTTTTGCCCAGAGAGCTTGTGTGATCTGGGGGCCTGTGGCTGTCATTAGTCTGCAGCAGGAGAGTGAGCTCAGGGCATGAAGGGTGGTGAAGGAGCAGGGTCATCACCTCTGTTCCTTTTCCAGTGATACTTGATCTTCCTTACCTTTTGTTCTGCATGGATACACCACCATCTGCTTTCCCCACCTTCCACTGCAACCTTGTATCTTGCCTGACCACATCTCTGAATTCCTAAACAAAATCCTGGGAGCACTGGCACAGCAGTAGTGACCTGTGCTTCTGTTTTGGAGTGTCTAAGGGAGGTGAACCCCACTCAGAATGACTTCACTTCTCTGTTAGCTGCCCATTGACACAAAAGGCTCCAGGACCATCTGGTGATGATGTTGGGGTGCTCCTGCACTCTGAACAGGGAGTGATGTGAAGAGAGTGAGGCAGTGGTGTGCCTGTGTTTCTTCTGTCCACGTATGTGAGCAGATGTTCTTGCAGGTTGACAGATGGTTGTCTTGTCTTTCACAGAGCCCAGCCCAGTTCTTGATCTCAAGGCAGAAAATGTTGGCATGACTTCTGTCAACTTAACATGGATGGTGAACGACACTGCTTCCAGCTCCTACACGTACAGGATAGAGGTTGAGAGTGGTACCTCTGTTAGGAACATGACGTCCAATGTCACCAGAGACGAAATTGCTGAGTTAATCCCTGGGGCCATGTACAGATTCACAGTATTTGCAGTAGCAGCTGATGGTTGGACAGAAGGAGAAGGATCATCCATAAGCCTGTATACGGGTAAGTCACGGTTGCTCTCACACCTCTTCCTGATGGCTCTCCCTGTCTGCCCAATGTTTGAAACAGTATATTGTTTCAGGCAGAAGTGCTGCACACAGCCTACCTGCAGTCACTGATATTAAGTTGTGGAAGGGGGTTCTCTGAGGGCTTTTGTTAACTTCTCCTTGTGGATGAGGTTTTCAGGTCCTTATTTTGAAGGGCTTCTACGGGGAGTGCGTTGTGCCTGAGGAACTCCCCCTCTGGAGCTGCTCATGGCTGCTTGCTGATCCCTCAGCCATCTTGCTCTCATCAGCTCGTCAGCAGAGAGGAGAAGGTTGCAGTGCTGTGGTGTTCCTCATGCTAGGCATTGTGACCATTTTTTCCCTTTGTGAATATGCACTGCTGTGTCCTTTCCTTCACTTTGTCCACTTTTGACTGAGGTGAGGTCAATCTAACCCAGATCTCCTCAGTGGGGTTTCCAGAGGTGCCCCAGGATGTATCCATGAAGAGATCTCTGGTACTGTGAAAGTGCTGCTTGGCTACTTGTAATGCTCAGTCTGTTCAATACATGGAAGTGTGGCTGTGCCTCTGCTTGTGTTTGTCAAAAAATATTTGTGAGTGTTGATGGAGTGTCATCTTGACTTTCACAGAGCCCAGGTCTGTTTTCCATATCTGGGTGCAGTATGCTGGTCTGTGATTTTCCCATGGAGCACAGATGATACTTATGACTACACCTACAGATTAGAAATCCAAAGTCACGGTCCCTCCTCTAGAAACCAGACATCCAGTGTCACCAGAGGTGTTAATACAGACAGAAACCCTGGAGCTTTCTGTATTTTCATTGTGTTTGTAGGAGTATCTGACAGTGTTACTGAAGGAAAAGTAATATTTTTAAAATGCAATAGAAATAAGTTCCAGTCACTAACAATCTTTTAACTAAATCTGTTTTTTTTCTGGTACACAAATCTGCTTCTCCTTAGATTCTTGAAACAATATCCCTTTTTATTAGCAAAGTAATTTAATCCATGAGCATTTTACCTCTGTATTTGGAAGTACTAAATACTTCTTTATCGAGAGAGGAAATAAATTTGCTGTGTTTTACAACTGTAGAAGTTAAAAGTGTTTTGGTCTTGAATGCTAAGTTTTGTAAGATGTTTAGTTTAAAGGGAACTTTCTTCTCAGTGTTACTGCTACATCAACTTTTAAAATATCTTTTTATAACTGGTCATAAGTTTGCAATTTCTGTATTGTGTGCTATAGAACTCTCATTAGCTGACATGTTGTAGTTGCTGCTCTTAAGGATGGCTACTGCTGTGCTCTTAATGCACAGAGCTTATATTAGTTTTCTTGTTGGCCACTAAGAGTTTTACACGGTTATACAGTGAGTTAGTGTCAATCTACATAGTACTCTAAAAATGTTCTTAGAGTGGTATGTTCAATTGTTGAACAGTATTTTGAAAACTTTGCTGATCTTGACAGACACTAAACCTAAATTTTCTCAGTAAACCTGTCTGCAGGAGGAGGTCTGTGTACTTAGTGTGCTAAATGCTTCTCTTCCTCATAGGGTAGAAGGTCCTTGTAGGCAGTACCTTCATCTTTTTAACAGTGGAAGGGAATACTGAAGTTTTACAAGCATTTATACACAGAACTTACAAATAGACAGCTTTTTCGATTTACTATAATACTTGATTTCTTACTCTTCTTTTTTTATTTCAGTTCCTGCCTTAGTGAATTCATTTCAGTGTGAACCAGTGGCCAAGCAGTCTTCCCTAATGCTGAAGTGGGAGTGTCCTTCTGGTTACAATTCTGGCTTCAAAATTAAAATATTTAATGCTACATGGGAAAAAGAACAACAGACTCCATCCTGCATGAGAGAAGGCTCAGAGGAAGTCTTCAGAATAGCATCTTTAGATTATTTCAACACCTATAATGTTACTATTGCAACTCTTTCAAATAGTTCTGAAAGCCATCCAGTGCAGAAGATATGTAATACGAGCATTACTGGTAAGCATTAAGATTTGAGAATTAAAGATATTCGTAGGACCAAAATAGTGATTTCATGATGCAGCATACCAAACTTGATGTGCAGTACATTATCAGCCTACAGATTGTGAATAAAACACTACATTCATATAAAGTCTAATGTAATGCTCAATAGATATGCATTATATGAACAGCATTAGTATTTCAGCATTTTCTTTTTCAGAAAACTTTTCTTTATCGGTCATTAAGGTACTAAAACCTATTTCTTTATATAGACCCGCCTGCTCCAAGCAAAGCTCCTTTAGTCAAGGCAGTCAGTCACAGCTCGTTGTCTGTTGAATTCTCTGATTTTGAGTCAGTGAATGGACCATTAAAAGCCTATGCAGTAATGATCACAACAGAAGAAGGAGGTAAGATGTTACAGTATGATCTTGTAGCTGTGTGAAACAATTTATCAGATATCATTACATTTTAAACTCTAAACAGGTGTTAAATAGAGAAAAAGCTGACTCAGTACTTTCAATCATCTTTCAGAAATCATGAAGCAAAAATACTTTGCTTGCTTAAAGTCAGATCACTCCTTCTCAGAAAGCCAGTTTTCACTCAGCCTTTTCCAGCCTGACTTATTATTGTATATGTTTCATATGTATTGCCACTGTGCTGTTGTCGTCTTGATCTGCCAGTGATTCCTGCCACAAGGTTGTGTAGTGTCCTTTTTTTTTCCCTCACAGAATAATTTTCAGAGCTACTAACACAAGCAGCTTTGGAATGTGGGATGTTTTTCCCCCTCCCATATTGAGCTGAAAGATACCTACTGTAATATCTTAAAAAAAAAAAAAAGTGAACTTTCCTTGGGATTTCACTTAAAACACTTTAACTGAGAGATATGGAGTGCTGGTGGAAGGCTTGAGCAGCATTGTCAGCATTACATGCTACGGGAGTCTGAACACCACGGAAAGCTAGCATGTGGTCTATCAAATTCTCATCTTTAAAGCATCAAAACAGAGAAATGTCTTTAATTGGTGAATGTCTAATGGTAAATCATAAAATTAAGGATCCTTCCTTTGCATTGTAGGTTTTCGTTGAATGTCTTTTCATTTCTGCCAGTGCACTGGAGGAGTAAAGCAGCTGATAGAAATAGTTTCCCCCAAGTGGGATTTGCCATTTATGCTTATCCTTTGTCTTAACACTGGAAACTCATCTTGCAGCAGTTTGACTGTAGATCTTTATTCTGTGGTTTTCCATATAATCTATGTACAAGAAATGCCCATATATATATATCTGTAGTACATCAGTGCAGAAAATTCCTATTTTTCACATGCCTGCTCAGCTGCCCCAGGGTTGCTGACTTGAATGACTCGGAGGCAGCAACAGCTCTGCTTGTACCTTCAACCAGTCCTGCTTAGTCTTGATGAGATTCATTGTAGTCTTCTGTGTGGTTTTGATTGCAAGGTATTCAGGAGAGAGGACTTTCAAGATGTTATTGAGAGAAATAAGGAAGGAAGACTGCCTGTATTTATAAGATGGAGTCTGAGCGCTTTGATAGCAGGAAACCATCCTTACAGCCAAGCATCACTTCACCTTTATAGTGTTGAGATAGCATTAATATGCTTGAGATGTGTTTCTCTGTCTTAAAACAGACATCATTACCTTTAGGATAGACAGAGGGGACTTTGTTCAGCTGTGTAAGCAATGGTGTCTAAGGCTGTTTGAGATGGCCTAGGGTGATATGCAAGGCATCCACACAAAGACCTGCAGGTACAACCTGGGATGTACATCCTTTTGGAATGGAAACTAGGGACCAGACAGGATGTATAATGTATCTTGGACAGTATTGAACACCCTTTTCTAGGCAACTGAGTTAATTGCAAGCTCAGCTGCTTTTAATGTAACCAAACCAGTGCTTTGCAAGAGCTGTCATGCACCCTGTTCTTGCACAGTCACAGTTGCTGAGAGCTTTGCTGTTGGTGACAGTGAGCCACCAGCTCACTACTGGCAGACTACTCGCAAACCTTGTTTACACAACTGTAAAAAACCTACTACCTACTACCTTTCCAGCTTTCAGAGCTCCTGCAAGGCTTCTCCTTTTTAAAGGTGAATTCAGTACTTTATCTGTTTTTGGAAGGAGCTCTTAGCTTTGTAAAGACAGTCAGTAGAGAGTAACGTATGCAAACTTCAGCCAAATGAGCACCATTTTTCTTACTCCCACAGCACTTTGAATATTTGAATCAGTTTGCTTGCTCTTGATTTGTCGGACAACTGGTAATTTGAGCTTGTTTATTACCTCTTAGGTCATCATATGTGCCTTGACTGTATAACCTGCCTCAAGTTTCTAGGGTTCATCTTCTAACAACAGGAACTGTAAAGTGGTGCTGTTCTGCAGACAGTGTCCTGTTGGTCACTGTTTGACTGCAGTAGCCCATTCTTCTTAGTCTTCTGGAAGATAAACTGTTCTGATCACGGTTTTGTCCAATGCTTCTCTCTGTCAAGAAAAGGCAGAAATTAACTCTTTCATGTCTTAGGGTTTAGGTGTGAGACTTCTAAGACACAGCAAAGGAGTTGTAAGTCAGGATGAGCTTAGTGTCACCCTGAAAGAGGCTTGATGCTGTTTGAGTAGCACAATGTTACCAAGTACCAGTTGAGTTTTTCTACACTGTTTGCATTGTACTCTATAGATATGATAGCTGATAGGGTGTGTATGGAAATAACTGACTTGTCTAGTTAAGTTTGTCCACAGGGGTACCAGAATTCACCACTAATGTACCTCTACAGAGAAGCTCCACTATACATGGTAGAAATAAAACCAAAAGGATGTTAAAACAAGTTACACTGGGAAGTAGGGAGGAGTTTGTGTTGCAGTAGAAGAGATTTCTGAAATTGTCTGTTGCACCCAGCCTGTCATTTCAGGCAGTATTTATGCAGTAACGACAACTGTGGTTAATGTGACCCTCTCAGCCACTGTGCTGATTGATACAAAATCAGTGGATGATATATCCCACATATATCCTTGTTTTTTCCTGAAGGTTGTGCATCTTTGAAGTCTAAATTGAACAACACATACAAAGATTTCAAGAAGACGAAGACAGTTACCTATGTTACGTATGTCATAAAAACAGAGCAGGCAAAACCACCTTCTTTTCATTCTCAGAATGGTACCAACATCGTTAACGTAGGCAAGGGAAACACAATGTATGGCTACGAAAATGGACCGCTGGTTCCACTTCGTTCATACAGGTATTTATTTCAAACCACTGTTTGATTTATTTTGCTGCAGTTGAAATCAAAAAGACCATCTAACAAAAAGATTACAGATCTTGCTTAAGAATGTTAAGGCCATGTGATGTACCTGATTTTTTTTCTTTCCCTTCTCCCTTACCAACAGGGCAAGTGTTGCAGGTTTCACTAATATAACCTTTACTGTGGCCAACATCATTGTGGGGGAAGATAGTTATGTATCATTTTCACCCTGTTCTGAGGCGGTTTTGCTACCCCAGGATCCAGGTATAGTTAATGTCAAATGTAGGACTGGCAACTGGGCACATAGTGTGTGGAGATGCCTTAATTATGGCAAGTTTCATAACAGCAAAACACCAGTTGGTTTCTCAGTGATGGACTGTTTCTTTCTAGCTTTGCAGTGACACTGCTCTGTAAATTCAAACCTTGCTAGTTCTGTGGGTGACCTCTTCTTTCCATATATGACTTCTGCTGTGGAAGTAAATGCTCTGCTGCCCATGGCATGCTAAAAGGGATTGGATGGCACAGGAAGACTTTGGTACAGAAACAAGGAGCAAAAAGCAGCTGATGTTCTAACAGTTCTAGTAAATTAGAAATGAGTGTATTGAAATGCAAATACTGGTCCTTTGATCCCATTTTTTATTAATTTATCATCCTTGGTTTATTATTCTTAATGAGCTTTCAATACTGGTACTACCAAAGGGCGTGGTAAAGACAAGACATTTAGTAGTGTGTGGAGTGTGCTCTGTCACTTGTAAGGTTCTCTTGTGGCATGTTGATTGAGTTAGATGATTACCAAATTGCTAAATCAGTAATGAGTAATACTTGTTGTCTTTTATCAGGTGTTATTGCTGGAGCTGTTATTGGATGCCTTTTAGCTATATTGGCTGTAGTCGCTATAGGGGGTTTCATATTCTGGAGAAGGAGAAGGTAATGTGTGTTCATTGTTACTTGTGCTGTGATGAGGAACACTAGTATTGCACTTCTGTATCTTTCTCCTAAAAAGGTCTCTTCTGTTTTATGCACTTCTATCATGATGCTTTAAAATACGTTCCATTAAAAATCTTGTTTGTATGTTACTGATTAAGTCGATGTATCAAGCTAGTTAAATGACTTTGTTCAACCCATAGTTACAAACTAATGAGTTAAGATTTGTTTTGTTTAGCTCTTCTGAATTCATGCTTGCTGATGAAGTAATTCAATCAGAAGTAAGCAAACATCACAAATTATTGTGCTAAAAACATGTGTAATTGTATCTTAGATGGTTTTACTTTTAAATTATCCATTAATCACACTTTTTAATTGCTTGATGACGTGTCACATGAAACTTCCATTCTGGAGTTTCCAGAAGCTGATGAGTTGCCTGGGGTTTGAGCTGGTCTCTCAGTTTCCAGTCTTTTCCAAATAGTCTGGAATTTAAGAGTCTGCAAAGACTTTTTCATACTCTGATCACATGGTACATCCTTTCTAAAGAGTTAGCTGTAGGGCCCTTAGTCCAGTTTTCTTAGTTTCTTTGATTAACTGCTGTTACTTTTACAAGTGTATCCAATAGCTGTGGACAATAATGAGAAGAGCTTCCTTTAAAGCTCAGAACACTTACTTCCATTCAGCTACCATTTCCAGTACCACTGACACATCATTGTTGAACACTTACTGTAGGGATTCTGGGAGTAGTAGCAATTCTCCTGAGATGTTAGCTAACGATGCAGATCCCTCCGATGTACTTCTTCCACCCAACTTACATGCTTTATGTTCAGGCATTATACTCTGGTTCCCACAAAAAGAAACAGTCTCATTGCACACCACCATTGAATGAAGGATGAAATATTCTTACTCCAGGTACAGGGTTTGCCTCAGGAGGGTGTTTTTTGCACAGAATGAGACTTTCAAAATAAATTGTTCTGAACAGGCACAGGAAGTAGCTGTCATCAGAAATCTCATGTGCATTCCATTAAATTCTACTGTGAACCTATTGTATTTTCTTTTGCCTTCTAGGAAAGATAAAAGAAATACTGAAGTGTCCTTTTCTCCAATTAAGTAAGTCCATATCCTTTCACATGTTGTTTTCTGAGCTCAAGTGGTATTTGAAAATCTTACTCTGAACCCAGATACTTCTTTTCTGTGCAGTTTTGTATAGAATTTTGCAGTATTAATTCCTCATGGAATTTAAAGACTCCAGCCTGCAAACTAGAAATAATCATATTGATCGAGACTTCTAGAGTTGCCTCAGGGATTTGAATGCTTGCTTCGTGAATTGCTATTAGACACATAAATGTTCCACATAGTTCTGAAAAGCAGGATGTTTGAGTGAAACGTAGGCTTCTGTGCACGTGGAGGAAACGATCCAAATTGTTGGTAAAGTGCACATAGGTAAAATTCTGCACTGTGGCCTGAATTTTCCTTTGCTTTATGACTACTTTGTGCTGAGCCATTAATTCTGATAATGTTGAGACTGTAAAAGCTGGCTGTGGGAGGGTAACCACAATATATTGGAAGTCACAGGCAGTTCAATTGAATCACATTATCGGTTCCTGCACCAATTTTTGTGCTAATGGAACGGCATGGCTGAAGCATCCCATGAAGACCAGTGTAGACTTTGGTAGTTGACACAAAATACACCAGGGAATGGGACCAATCTGATGGGAGCACAGAAGCAACTGACTGACACCTTCTGTGATACTCTTCTCCTGAAGGATGCACTATTCTCTCCTTGGTTTAACAGATCAGTTAATATGCTGTGCTTGGTATCCTGTCCCCTGTAAATGCAGTTTTGTGGCTGCTACTAACAGTCATGCTTTCATTCTTAGATTTACATAGTGAAAAATACAGCTGCATGTGTCTAATCAACCTTTTTTTCTTTCCCCTATCCTCCCTTGAAGAATCAAGAAGTAAGTAAAGCACACTTTCTAACACATTAACTCAATTTATGGTTTATTTACCTAATACCAGTTAACAATACATGGCTTTTCTTATTTTAGGTCAAAAATGATTAAAGTGGAGAACTTTGAGTCCTACTTTAAGAAGCAGCAAGCTGACTCCAACTGTGGTTTTGCTGAAGAGTATGAGGTACGTGCCCTCAATGGAGAGAGCTCATGACAAATACTTTTGGAAAGGCAAGTTAGCTTTCCTGTGGAGCATACATGAGGCTTACTGAAGGGGAACAGAGGGGACCTTTATTATAGAGATTATTAAGCTGCATGTATAGCCTTTCTTTCCCTGCTTCAGCTCCAGATTTAGTTGAAGTGCATGATAAACACTTTACATCCTGAACTATTATCTCTACCTGTGAGCTTATAGCATGGCCTGCTGGTCAGAGCACTCACCAGACAGGATCGCCTGAGTCCTTGCCGCAGTCACACTACAGTTAGCCTAGGGAAAGCTATTTAACTCCTCTGCACTTTGTATTTTTTAATCTTGTTTTTGTTTTTCTATGCAGCAAGACAGGTCTCTTGCTAAAATCACTGATTTCTTTAGTGCTTAGGTGTGATTTGCAAACCACATCTGTGAATAGCTTGAAGGAGCAGTCAAACAGCAATTAACGATTTGCTTAGTGACCATAAATGTTTTGTTTTTCTATGAAATGTGCTAAAGTTCAGTTGTTATGGTACAGAAGACAGAAATCAAGTGTCACTAAGCAAATATGTGTTGTCATGTCTGCTGTTAAAAATCTAATTTTTTTTTTTTTCATCTCCTTGAAGCTATTAATTGACTTTCTTCTTCTTTCCAGTCCTTTTGATTGTACTTTGCAGGCTGGTGCTCTGCCTTGCCTTCCTCTCAAATTTTGCTTCCTTCAGTCCTCTCATGATGTACTTGCTCCCTTTTTTCCCCGTAATGTCCACAAAGTTTACATGAAGTAGATCGCTGCCTTGGGGTCAGAATGAGTGTGCTGTTGATGTCAGTGTTGTGTATTTCAGCCAAACTGTTCCTGGGCTTTTGAAGCCCACCTCTGCGTTTTAAACATGCTACCATTCCAACGTTCTGTATTAATCCCTTCTCTATTAGATTTGCTACTGTCACCCTCCCACCCTGTAAAAAGATTTATCCCCGTAGAACATGCCTACTTTTACAGCAAAGGTCAAGAGTGGTTGGAGCGTTTGTCTGTTGCAGTCATGTGTTTCTGTACAATTCCTAAACCAGAACCAGGTGCTCACGAACCCTTCTTCTGTTGTAGGAACTCAAATCTGCTGGTGTTCATCAGCCCAAATTTGCTGCTGAGCTTGCTGAGAATCGTGGAAAAAATAGATACAACAATGTCTTACCATGTGAGTTACTGGTTTTGTTTTGCATCTTCTACTGGTTGAGTTTTCCAGTGAAAACCCTTGGATTTGGATTTAATAGTACCCAGAGGCTTCATCGAGGGATTATTGTCATCAGTTTTCAAAGCAATGAACTTGGGCTGCTGCTTTTCCAAAATCACTGTATAAGCAAACCCAAAGAGTTTTCCCTCAGTAATGTTTTCTAAAGTTCCCAAACTTTCCCTCATGGAAGTTCATTAAAGAACTTGCCCTTAAATAATTTTAAGTTTCCATTTGTGAGAAACTTGCAGTCAGTTTGAAAAAGAAACAAGTTAACAGTTAACTTGGGACAGGTAGATGTGCAGAGCTGTGAGAACCGTTACAACCCTGTTGCCAGCTTTGCAGAAGAAAAAGCCTAAGCCCTCCCTGTGGGAACCCCAGCATAGCAGAGTGTAAGAAGGCATTGGAAGGTGAACAGTGACAGGTACTTAAGGATGATTTGAAGGAAAAAACATCAGCTGCAATGGCAGCAGGAGACAAATCACCTATTTTTCTCCAGTAATTAAAACTATAATAAATTTTGTGTTGGATTAAAAATATATAAATATGCAAAACCAAACCATGTGGGTTTTAAAAAAAAAAAAAAAAAAAAAAAAAAAAATCTGTGTTGAGTATTCTGAATCTTTATCCTGGCCACTCATTTTTCTGAAGGCTTTCATCATAAAAATTCTAAACTGCTATTTATGATTCCTAAAGTTATATTCTTATTCTTAAAATGCACATTTTTCTAAAACACCTTTTATTTAAAACTGTGCATTAGATAGTGTTTTGCTGAAAGGGTCTTGTTTTAAAATTCATAATTTTCCTTTTTTCTTTCTGCAGATGATATTTCTCGTGTTAAACTTTCAGATCAAAGCTCTGCAACTGATGATTATATTAATGCAAACTATATGCCTGTAAGTCACTTCATTAGTTGTAATGAAATACAATGTGTACTTTTATGATGTAGGCTTAACAGCTCATGCTGATGTTTAAAATTGGCTTTTTATGTCTCATTGATGCGCAAGTGTGTGTATATACATATTTATTTTGGGTTTTTGTTCCTAGGGCTATAACTCAAAGAAGGCATTTATTGCTGCACAGGGTCCTTTACCCAATACTATAGAAGACTTCTGGCGCATGATTTGGGAAAAGAATATCTACTCTATTGTTATGCTGACAAAATGTGTTGAACAAGCCCGGGTATGTTTTTATTAAAATTGAACTGTCTCTGGAAGATGGTTGGATCTAATTTCGTTGTTACCCTAGTAGGCTGGAGACTGACTTCTTTCATTTAAAAACCATCCACTTACTGGAAGACTGTTTTCTAAATTACATAAGCCAAATTTTTTTTAGCTTTTCCCATTTTGTTATCTGATGACTACCAGAATAGATTGTCTCAGGAGGGTTCGCTGTCTTTAAGGGTGGGTTCTTCTCCCTAAAGAATGGTTTTGGTGGAGCTTCTCCTGCCCTGGGATAGGCCATTGGGAAGGGTGACGTGCTTTCTAGCCCTGCTTCAGGTGGTGTGTAACTTAAAACTAACAGTCCATTGTTTCGTTGCTGTGTGTAATGTGTCAAACCTTGTAACTCTCTTCTCAGACAAAATGTGAGCAATACTGGCCAGACAAACAATCCAAGAGCTATGGTGACATTATTGTGACGATGGTCTCAGAGGCTGTCCTTCCAGAATGGACAGTAAGGGACTTCACTGTAGAAAAGGTGCGTGCATACCCCCTTGGTTGTTAGTGTGTAAATATCTACAGAAGTGGTGTATCATATCACTGTGACTTCACATGTGAAGCAACACTGGAATGACAGAATACAATAATTTCACTAAAACTTAATTAAATTCAGAGTTATCTGAGGGAAAAGGATAAGTGTGGTTTATTTTAACTTGAGGCTTTGAATATATTTATCTGCTTTCTGTGAAAAGTCTGATTTAAAATTTTTCACACTATTTACTGGCAGCCAGACTCCTATGATATTTACGTGTATGCATTTGTTCAGGTGCCCTGGCTTCTTACAGATGTTTTAGTAACGCACCTAGAGGTGGGAGGGAATACGTTGCCAGTAAGGCCCTTCCTGTGGCAGAAAGGGATCTGCCAGCAAAACCCAGCCTGCTAATGGGAGTTACCAATTGCCCCATCAGTGATTCTGCAGCTCGTGTTTCCCTGAGACTTGCACCAGAACTTGTGCTTATACAGATAATTGTAATATCTGCTAAACCGAACAATTAGCCCCATCTCTGTCAGAAAATGTAATGCAGCAGAGGTAAGTAGAAAGTAAAAGGAAATTATTTCCAAATATTCTCTACCAGAGTGGAAGGAAGAGGGAAACTGAAATATCATTGGTGAAATTACTGCACGGTTTCTAACGGGCATCTTTAATGAAGCTGAGGTTTGTCCAGTATCTATGGCAGGAATTTTTTTTTTTTTTTTTTTTTTTTTTTTTTTTTTTTTTTTGGTGTGTATTCCTCTAGACCAACACACCAGAGAGCCACTCGGTGCGCCAGTTCCATTTCACCTCCTGGCCAGATCACGGAGTGCCAGAGACAACAGACCTTCTCATCAACTTTAGACACCTTGTTCATGAGTACAGCAGTCAAAATCCAATTGACTCTCCTACTCTGGTGCATTGCAGGTAGGAAGAACATGTTTGTATTAGACACGTTTTTATCTTGTGGCTTTTTTAAGAACAATTCTTTTCAATGTGATTTTGAAAAAAGAAAAGTGTTTCTGCTTAAGAAGATTAGGCTGTTCACCCTGCCGAATCAAAACTTTTTCCTCATGCTTCAGAAATGTAGCAACACTGTGTAGATGATAGCAAAGTACACAACACAGAATTTCATGAGAATTAGACCATCTTTCTCTCCTAGCCTAGAAAACTTAGCTGAAAAAGTTGTGTCTTCAAGTGCTTTTATCTGTAATCTTGTGCAAGTGCCAGGCTGGGAAGCCCAGAAGCCTGTCCTCCCTCCTGCTTGGAGATGGTGAACGCAGGTGCCACTGAAATAACAGAAGGCATCTCACTGGCTTTTCATCAGTCCCCAGTGAGGCAGTGGTTGAGAGAAGGCAGTAACTCTCTTCCCCCTGCCCTTGCAGTGCCGGTGTCGGCAGGACGGGGACGTTCATCGCCATTGACCGCCTGATCCAGCAGGTGGAGATGGAGAATACGGTGGATGTGTACGGAGTGGTGTACGATCTTCGCATGCACCGACCCTTGATGGTGCAGACTGAGGTAAGGCTGTCTTTCATCCAGCTGCGTGTTTTTCAACTGTGTGCTATAATCCAGGAAGGGTGGACTCAAGAGGTAGCTTAGAATTACAGAAAGTATAAGATACCAAGGAGAAATCTGAAATTGCTCTTTATTTAACTTCCCCCCTTCCTGCCTCATCTCCTCCCACAACAGCAGTTGCAGCCAGGGGCTGTAGTACATCCAAGCAGTCTCTTTACAGAGTGCTTCGAAGGTAGGACTGGCATTTGCAGCTGGAAAGAATCAAACTCTGAAAAAGGGCTTTTTTGCAGCTTGTTTTACCCCTGTGAGTTTTGCCCTTATAGCTGTGAGCCAGAATTATCTTGAGTCAAATGGTCTTGGTGTGCAGCTTTTCTTTTGTGTTCTGCAGGAGCACATGAGTCCCTGCTGAAATTCTCACTTTGATCCAAAGAGATGTGTTGGATTAACTCAAGCTGGTTTGAAAAAGGCTGTAAAATTTCCATCATGAAAGTCTTTTAAGAGGGTGTTAGGCCTGACACTAAATTTGATCCTAGTTTTTTATGGGGGGTTGATCAGATCACATCATGAGGTCCTTTCCAGCCCTATTTTCTATGATCTATATACAACTTATAGAAAATACTCTGTGATAAAAATCATTGCAGTGCATTCAAGCCCCCAAACTTATATTCAGGAGCAGAATTACTTCCAACATCAGATATTTTCTAGAAATGTATCACCCTCTGTTTTTCTCCTATCAGGACCAGTACGTCTTCCTAAACCAGTGTGTTATGGATATTATTAGATCCCAGAAAGACAAGAAAACTGATCTTATTTACCAAAACATGACAGCAATGGCAATCTATGAAAATTTCACACCTGGGCCAAGCTTTGGGAAGGCCAATGGCTACCACGCATAGCCTGGATGGAACATGGTGTTTCCAGGAGGTGTCACCTGCGCAGAGGAAAGGGAGATGTTCTACTCATCCGGGGTTGCGTGCAGTGTCTCATGTCTGGCTTCTCCAGGTCTATCCGCATTCGAAGATGTGATCTGCAGGAGGAAAAAGGCAGTGCTGGCAGGAGCTGCAGACTGATATTAAAAAAACAAAACAACAAGCAAAACTATTTAAAGTTAACAGAGGAATCTTGCTTTTCTTGGGAATTTAACAGTACTGATAGGTGAAATAGCATTTGCAGTATGAACGGTGGGCTAGAATTTAAATATTAAAATAATAACACAAGCTTTTTATTACAATTTTATATGATTTCATTTACAGACACCAGGCTTGTGGGCTGTTTTAATATATTTAATTATAAGTTTCAGGAACATATTTTATCTACTGTATCTGGTTACTAAAAGGAGTACAAACAGCTCCTTCATGTGGACATTTATACTTGGAAATTGTGCCTTTTCTAGTTGCTACTCTAGAAAAAAAAAAAAAAACAGCAGAGATTCTATTTTTGTACTGAAACTCTTAATGAGAACACAGATTTTTAAATAAGGCTTATGTCAAACTTAACTGTAGTTGCACTGTTGGCAGGACTCTCCAGAAGTTTGGAGGTGAGCTTTGTTTTTGCATTTCACCACAAATATCCCCTGCCTTAATGTTTCGGTGCCTCTGCTAGAGGAAAAAGGAGTGTGATCTGTCACTCCGAGCTTTAACTATAGTAAAAAAAACCCGAGCAAGTGAATATGTGAATGTGTGTGCAGGGGTGGGTGTGGGTGTGTATGAAGGACAGAATAGCTCCTCCCTGTTCCTGGCTGATATTCCTGTTTTTATACAATTTATAGTGATTTATTTAAAGGTGCAATATATAATTTACTGAATAATGATCACTCTATTCTAATAGAGTTTTACTCAGGTTGGTGTCTTTTTATCATTGTTGTTGTTCTTCCTCAAATATATAAATCTGTGAAAATGTTGAAACTAAGGTTCCAAGTGTCCAAGCACTCCCAAACAGATTAACTGGCTTTACTGTTTCTACCAAAACAAATTGCACAAAATTCTGCTGTAAAGACCAATTTCTCAGTTGTTTCAGCTGTTCAAAACTGAGACACGTCTTACCTGCCTGCATCTCATTGATCTAATGTAATTGTTATATAATTATTTGCAATAGACTGCTGCTGTGTTTTAACTGGTCCTTTTAAAAACAGAACAAGCAGAAAACCCCTAGTTGCTGATTTTACAAGTCAAGGATTAGATTGGATTTATTTTTCTGGTACATAACTGTTAGACTTATGAAGGCATTACCAGTGAAGGACTTCTTAAGTAGCTGGGGGGGGTGTATGTTTTTTTTTGATCTTTCGAACATTGCACTGGTTGCATTGCAGAGGAGTATGAAGTTTATGAATAATGCTATAGAATAGCTATAAAGTGGTGAAAATCTTATGAAGGTTTAATAACCAGAGTCTCTGGAATTCTGCTGCTTTTTTTTGTTTGGGGTTTTTTTTAGGTTTTTTTGTTTGTTTTAGCAGAGTTGTCAGAAAAAAGCTACAGATATTAGGAGTATGTGTGGCATGACAATGGAACCTGGCAAACTCACAGAATCCACTGTCAGCTGAAGGAAAATGTAGGAATTCCTGGTGCACAACTGTAACTTTACAGATATCCAGAGGAATTTTTTACAACCTGGTGTGAAACTGGTGTGCTGTGTGTGAGCAAAACAGGAGGACAAACCACAGTGCACTTCAGCTTTTGGTTTTGTGGGGGATTTTTTTGTAGCAGCCACTTGTGGGTTCTTCAATATTTTTTTTCTCTCTTTCTCTGAAATACTTTAAAAAACAAATTTTAAAAACCCACAAGGTTAATGATCCTGCCCAGCTCCATCCAAACTGGCAGTCCACATAGTGGATCTCTCACCTGGCATTCTTCCTAAGCTGCTGTCAGATGACAAACAAAGATAAACCACTTGGACCAAACAGAAGCATTCCAAAGGAACTGGGAGGGAGGAAAGTCTGCCCCTCACAGGCATGCTATTTTTTTTTTTCCTCTGTTAATCTATTAATTACTGCACATCTGTGCAGAGCACAGAGCCAGTATTTGTTATTCCAGGTCTCCAAGAAGTTGCTGCCTTAAGGTGGAGAATGCCGTCTTACTTCAGAAGGCCCTTATTCTGTATAGCACAGAAGGGAGGGAGATGAATCTTCTACTCTAGATCATGCATTTGCATTGTATTGCAGCAGAACATCAGAAAACTAGCTAGAATGGCATGTGTTTCTACTAACCACTGCCCAGATACTCTTAACAGAAAATAACCGTATCTGTCCCATTGTTTTGATGTTGGAAGCAGGTGCCAAATTTTCACTTGTCATCATCTAATGAGTATTCATTTTTAATACAACTGTATAAACGTTTTCCCCAAACTGACTCATTCTGAGAAAAGACCGAAATTTGAAGTAAATGACTGGTTAAACCCAGGTATAGGTGGAAAAAGTTGGTGAGGCTTAAAACGCTGTAAACATACAGTTAGCCGTAGTGCTGCTGTGAGTAGGTAGGACATGCCTCCTAGGGTCTATGCAGGAAGAGGAGGATTACAGGTAATGAATGCTTTACTACCTTGTGGATCTCTTTTGGTCAAGATGACTTGAATTCCTGCAAAGATTTTTTTTCCCCTGCCTTCTGATGTTCTCTGTGTTATAATTGCCGAGATCTGTCTCTGGTCAGTGTTTTCTCTCACTGTAGCTTATCTAAAGCTATCCACTTTTCAGGCTGAAAGCTCCACAGTGTGTTTTTTTTTTTTTTTTTTTCTTCCCATTTGGGGCCTGCTTAAGAAGGGAAAAGTTGATGTGTTTCAAGTAAGTGACTGTTGAATATCTTGAAATGATGTACAAATTTTATTGTTTTCATATTTGTTGTACAGAAAATTTCAGCACATGTCTGTTTTTAATGGTTTGATTTGTTTTTAAAGATATAAAAATAACAATTAAAAAGCATCATCCTAGAGCATTTTCTGTCTTGTATTTTTTTTCTTGAGGTTCTCTTTTCCGTTCCTTTTGAATAAAATTAATTTGCTAAAATAGCCATTTCATTTAAAGGGGCTTTATAATGGATGAGGAAAATGGACTTCCATCCTCCAGGGTGACACTGAAGTTGGATGTGTGTTATGGTCACTGGGGCTCCCTGTGAGGGTGTTAATCTGTCATTGAGGCTTGCCTGGTAGGACCAGGGCCCGATGCTAATGTGTCCTGGCAGCTGGTGGCTTCTTCAAATGAAGAGCTTGGTACCAGATCAAGGAACAACAGCTTCATCCAAGGTCAATCAAAATATTTTCACTCACTAAAATTGCCTTGGGGGAGGACCAGCATTTCTAGGACTCATTTACTTTCGGAAAAACAAAAGTGAGGACTTTCTCATCCCTTGAAGGAGATGTTCTGTTGTCAAGGGCAATGATAGAAGGTTGTGCAGAAATATCTTTGTAATGTTGTAGCTGGCTTCTTGATTACAGATTGCCTGACTGTAGATGCATATGAAATTATGTTAGTTAAGTCCCCTTCTATAATTCTTAGTTTCCATTCCTGGCTGTCATCTGAATCATTCCCAAGGAGGATCACATGCCTAGAGGGTGGTACTGGCTCTCAGCAACTCTCCAGTTCATCAGAGGGCACTGACATGTACTGTAAAAACTTGTGATCCTCTGTGATAACTCTGCTGTGTTTTCTAGAACAACTGCATGGTGAGATGGGAAGAGCAAAGCGTCATTGTCTTGTCATCTTCCAGTGGGAGCATGTGCCAGCCACACGGTGGTTGTTTGAGGGCTCTTGGTGAGACTTGTGCTGCACAAGAGAAGCTGTGACAATGAACCTCCCAGTGTAGGACCTGCAGCAGGTGACCACCACTGCCAGGGGGAATCAGCCTCTGGAAGAGAGACCTTTAGGGAGAAAATTTCTGTGCTTGTTTTTTTCCTTAAATCACATAGGTTTGAAATATTAGAGCTTCAGTAAAGCCAACTGTTCTGGCTGTCATTTGTAGTGCTGGTGTGTTCAGGTGGTTAGAGCTGAACCCCTATATCTGGAAATCATGTTCTGTCCCTGGTCCTGTCACGTATTAGTTTTGAGATTAAAGAGATGGAGGTCAGAGAGGAGAGGACACAACATTTCTGTCCTGTTCTTTGCTCATTAAATGGGATGTTGTCATAAGTACTGCTGCCCTTGCATGCCCTTCCTGGCTGGGTGTTATCAGGCAGCAAATAGAGTTTGAAGATGAACAGATGTGGATGTTCTCGTGGAAGAAGGTCAGAAATGGGAGCTTGGAAGGGAAAAACACCTGAAAACTTTGCACACTCTGCTTTTCTCAAGCAAAAAGAAAAAGCCTCTTCGCAGTGGGAAAGATGCTAGGTCTTAACAGTTCCTTGGTGATCTCAGTAAAATTTAATTACAAAATGCAGATGCAATCACTTTTGTACAGGGGGAGAATGAGAGGCAAGCAAAGATCAACAGTTTACTTGCTTCTGAGGTAGGTAGGTACAGTGTTATCCCACTTCTCGTGCCTACCAGAGAAGTCACTGTGCTTCCTTTTTCCAGTTAGTGTGGTGCTGCTTCAGAGAGTCCCTTTCAGCTCTTAACATAAGACCTCGTGTGGTTGAAACCTCTGGCTTTCAAATGATTCCATTTTCAGCACTTTGCAGAAATGTTCATGGAGTTGGTACCAAACAGTGAGTCTCTCCAGTGCTGTGCTTTGTTATATTCTTCCTCTTGGTTTGGGCAAACTCTTTGCCCATGCCAGCCTCCTGCCTGCAAGGGAGGAGGAGGGAAAGCAGAAATCCTGACTTGGAAGTACCAGGAGCAGCTGCTTCCCCTGCTCTGCTGGCAGAAGGGAAGGAGCTGGTTGTACATCTCACAAGAGGGAAAAGCTGGGAGCCCCCCTCAGAATATTTCTTCAATCTGAGGATTCAGGATCCAGGATGGTGGGGTTTTGTCCCTATTACTTAGCAGAACTCCATTTACTCATTCAAGTTGCTTTTCCCAAGTTTGTTTAATTTAAAATTAATAGGCATCCCCTGACAACCAGAACAAAGCTAGCAGGCTAACCTCTCACTGAGAAAAGGCGACTAGTCTGATCCAAAGCGAGTTACTTTAACTCATATTTTACCTCTGACTTTCCAAGTGAGTGACCAGGGAAAAGCCAGATTCCTTGGAACGATGTTCTGGATGTGATGCTGGGGGTTTGTGGACAGCTTACACAAGGATTGCTAAGGGACACAAGGGCTGTGTGCTCTGTGTGCTAGGGACAGAGTGCACTCTCCACACACCATGCCATGGCTCTGCCCTTGTTTCAGTGCAGGGCAGGATGGGCAAGAAGACACGTGTCCTCGATTGCTGGACTCGTTTGGGTTGGGTTTGGCTTCGCCT